GGGACTCCAGGATCATGGCCTGAGCTGAAGGCAGTCGCTTAACCATCTGAGCCACCCAGGCGCCCCATCAGTGCCATCTTTAAAGTAGTTTTTGATTGATGTGCTATCCTTTTTAAAGTGATAGATTACTATATCTTCAATACAAAAAATAAAAACCACAGAGTAAAGAGAATTTTGTTGAAGCTGTGGATAATTTTATTGTACTCATTTGAAAAAGACTTTTAATTTTGGGTTTCTGAATAATAAAAAGTGGTAATTTTTTGCTAAGTTAATCTAGGCAGCTTTTTAATAGGCAAGATCAACTCTTTAGAGAAAAATATTTTATTCTAATGCCTCGCTCTGATTTTTACTTACTTCAACGTAAAATTATGATAATCATCTATACTTTACTTACATTAGTAGGTCTCAAATTTTATTATACTAAGAATTTCTTGAGGCACTTGTTCAAAGTGCAACTTCTCAGACCATACCCTTGAAAAATGTTGTCCCACGCGCTCATAACCTATGAGCAGTGACTTTAAAATCCTATTCTTGACCAACTAGTATCTCTTCTCAAAGATAATATAAACGATCAAGGAATTTGTTGAAATTCTACAGTTCTGCTCAAACTACTCATTTATTCAGCAAATATTTACAAAGAACATACTATATGCACATACTAAGAAACAACAGCTTTATATACATCTACATTTAGAATACATTTTTAAAAAAGGATCTAAGTATTTTAAAAGATCTTACTTGTTTCTTAGCAGCACGCTCAGCCTGTATTTGTTCATATTCTTCCTGTGCTTTTTGATTTGATGTTTTCTTTTTATTTTTCTTTGAAATAGTAATGGAGCTTTTTAAGATAAAGATATGTAAGTCAAAGGATTAAAAGTGACAGAACCAAAATTATGACTCAATTATGTCAAATACAGTACTTGCATAGGAAAATCTCACTGATGCAAATTAATAGAGCAGGGAAGAGAGGCTGGCAGAAAGAGAGCAAAACCGTATTAGTAAAATATCCAAATAACATGCTAGAGTTACAGCTTTCAAGACATAATTAAAAAGTGGTAAATGGAGACTCTTGGAGAAATATTTCAACCAGAGACAATACAGAAAGCTGTGAAAAATCCTAAATGTTAACAAACAGGAAACTAGCACAATGGCAGAAATGACTGAAAAAGGCATTAAATTGAAGGATGTGACAGAAGTTATGGATGACATGAACTTTAATCCCAAAGTGCTTCGATCGTCTCTGAATTCATCTACTCAGTCATGAATGACCACACCTTGAAGGTAGTCCCCATTTAAAGCTGTTCTATCTTGGAAGTACTTCTCGCTCTCTGGTGTCCCCAGACACTTAGGCTCAGATTCCATCCATTTCCTCAAGCTATCTGATTCAGTAATTAATCTTCTTTCTCCCAGTCTCAATTTTTCACTACGTCAGCTCACAACCACAATAAAACAGGTTTCAGCAGCTGCATTCTTAACGAATGCATAAATTACTCATCACCAGATTCTATGTACTCTTCTATCAGTCTTTTCTTTGTTCTTTCGTAAGTACCTAGAAAGAATAGTGAATAGACTACAATAGTCCCTTCACACTCACTCCTTTTTTTTCCTTCACATTCACTCCTTAACTCTTTGCAATCTGGTGTTTGCTCTCTCCAATGAAACAGTCCATGCCAAGACAGTGATGACCTCACCAAATATGAAGATTGAGTCAATGGGCCCTATTCAGTCTCATTTAGCTGACCATTCACTACTTTTGAAAATTTCACTCCCTTAGTTCTAGTAACATTCTTCTCTCCTGATCGCTTTTTCCTTCCTTGCTCCAGGCATTTCCCCAAGTGTTTCTCTTCTTGGTCTCCATTCTTTAGACAGTAATATCCATGACCATGGCTTCAGACTCCACGTGGACGCAAGGTCAAAATCTTAGTAAGGGTTATCTATTAAAATCTTTCCAAAATCACCAATGATTACCTAGACCATAAATCCAAAGACTTGGTCTTAGTGCTGTTTTTCTTGCACTCTACAGTATTTGATAGATGACCAATCCCTACTTTGCACAACTTTCTTCGGCTGACTTAACGGTCTCTGTATTCCCCTTTCTCCAATTACGACAGTTCTACTTAACTTTTTCAATAATTTTTTTCTGCTTTGACCTCAAAATAAGTAATCTTTAAGAATATGATTGTTACTTTCATATCATGTCTCATGGTTTAACCCTCTTCACCTCAATTATTACCAGGAATGACTGAAATCTACATTTCTAGATTTGCCAGAGCTTTACATCCATTATTAAATAATATGATGCACAAGCCTACTAAAAAAATTGAATTTTTAATATCTCTGTCTCTATCTCCATTACACTTTTTCCTAGGGTCTTATTTCCTGTTACTTTTACCACAAATAGTTAACAACTTTAAAGCACAGTATTTTAGTGAACTAAAAAGTTACAGTACCAAGTAACAAGTGGATTTTCTGCTGGTTTAGGTTTCAACAGTTTTTTAACTTGAGATATGTGTGCAGAAAGCTTTGTAAGTTAGCTATTATAGAACCGAAGTGTTATACAGTTGTGCCATTTGTTTTTTAATTGGGACCAAGTCTATGTCCTCCGGAAAAAAAAATCCAGAATAGTATTAACGGCAGCAGTTAACATTCATGAAGCACTTCCTATGTGCCATTCGCCTTTTTAAGTACCTTATATAAATGAACTCACTTCCCAACATCATGAGATGGGTCAGCGATACCAGGGGGTCTATGTGAATAATCCATTCTAGAATTATACAACATGGCAGCTCTGAATTACATACTTATTACTGTCTCCATTTCAAAGAAGAGAAGAGGACACCAGGCACCAATATGTGTCCAGCTCCAGTCTGATATTAACCACTACACTATAATACCTCTCAAAAGTTAGTTTTTTTTTTTTAAACATGTGTTAATAACAGGAGTTAACCATGGTCCAAAAAAATTAAATATACTCAAGAGGCTGAAATCCAAAACCCACATCTTTTCATTCCAATTTCATTACTTCTTCCATTAACCTAAACTAGCCTAATGCAGTCATTTAAGCTAAAAGAAAGCTTCCTTGAAAATATTTTCACATAATCCACTGTGATTTCTATAATGCCTTAAATAAAAAAAATTCTAATTCCATAAACTGTGCTATAATCTCTTTCATAAAACACTACTTATATCTACAACAAAGGATCTGAGGGGTGCCTGGGTGGCTTAGTCAGTTAAGCATCTGACTCTTGGTTTCAACTCAGGTCATGGTCTCATGGTCTTGAGACAGAGCCCCATGTTGGGCTCTGCACTCAGCAGGGAGTCAGCTTGAGATTCTCTCTCCCTCTGCCCCTCCCCCCTTTCGCTCTCACTCTCTAAAATAAATAAATAAATCTTAAGAAAATTTTTTTAAAAAATAAAGGATTTGAAAGGAAGATAATACATACTTTATTCTTATGCTACATTGTTCTGATGACTGAGGCTGCTGAAAACTACAATGCTCTTCTGACAAAGCTTGGTCGATGTCACACTGTTCCTTTGGCAAAGGTTGATCAGCTTGTTCTTCTGACAAAGGCTGTTCAACTTTTCTAAGTTGCTTCCTGAGTCTTTTCTCTTCAGCTAAATAAAGATGTTTCAGATGCTCAGGGTATCGATCTGTGAACTGGGATTCCTGTGAGGTTCGGGCCTTCTTTTCCTTCCATAGCAATTTCCTGTAATTTTGCTGAATCTTCAGTTTTCTTCGGAATGCAAAGCCTTGCCCTATTGAACAATATCAGTCATAAATTACTTCCTCAGAAAATAAATTGCATGAAAAATGTAGCTGTTAATTTAAAATGGAAAACTTTTTACATCATCACATTCACAAGCTAGAATTACACTAATTTGCTTTAAAATGTCATTTCAAGAAAACAAGTTTAAGGGAATGGAATGAATTATATGTTGGTCCTTTGCAAAAAGACCTGGCTAAAATCAGTCATGCACGCTCAGTGATAATCCCAAAGAAGAGACAATGACTAGTTACACAACTCCAATTTGATTTTGTACCCCAAATCAAAACAAATTCTTTAATACATCTAAAACAATTAATCTAGGTCTTCAATACTTAAAAAAAACCCTCACATCAATTATTTTACCTTAGGGAAACACTCTACGACTAAACTAATTCCTACAAGAGTGATGGTGTATGATTTTCTGTACAGCTAGCAGTTATGAGAAAGTTGAACTTATTTAAGACTTAAACATTCCACAGGCGCCTGGGTGGCTCAGTCGTTAAGCGTCTGCCTTCGGCTCAGGTCATGATCCCAGCGTCCTGGGATCGAGCCCCGCATCGGGCTCCGTCCTGGGGGGAAGCCTGCTTCTCCCTCTCCCACTCCCGCTGCTTGTGTTCCTGCTCTCGCTATCTCTGTCTCTGTCAAATAAATAAATAAAATCTTAAAAAAAAAAAAAAGACTTAAACATTCAAATGGAATTTGAGGAAACTTGCTGACAGCAAGACAAATAAAAACACAAACTAAAGCGAAGCAAAGAAAGATCAGTAAGAAAAGACTGGAAAACTTTGGACCCACAAATGCTCTACTTACGGTTTCACCGGAAAACTGTAGAGAAAAACAATTCTGATTAAGAATGGGTTAAGTCGGAGGAGACACTTAAAGAATTACAGTTAGCAACACTGACTCATCTTCCCATTCACAGTTCTGGGAGCCCCACGGCTTCAGCGGGTATAAGAATGGCTTTCTCTGCCCTAAGGCGGGCCGGGTCTGGTTCCTAAATCCTTCTTCCCTGCTCCGGCGGGTAGCGGATCCTAAGATTTCGCAGGCCTTAAGATCTGTAAAAGGCTGTCTTCTTACATACCCTCGCGAACGCTCCCCGCGAAGGCCTGCGGATGATTAGATCGCCAAGTCCTCTGCTTCACGTTCTTATTCTTGAATCCGACCGAAGAAACTCCTTGGCTACGCATCTCAAAATCCCCTGCCGACCACTCCGCTACCTGCCTTACCGGCGCCATGGCACACCAACCAAGTCGCCAGAAAAACGCAACGGACGCTGTTAAAATACGTCATGAGACAAAAGCAATCAATCACCCAACTAGAGTCCAGATCGGAGTTCTATTCATCCGGTCTGTTATTTGCGACCGAGTCCTCGCCTTGCGGCTACGTTTGCGCCACCTACAGCCCGGGAGGGTGAGCGTCATGGCGGCTTCTTTCCCGCTCCCAGTGACCCAGGACCTGTTCACGTTGCGTGCCACGTTGCAGGAGCTACTGCAGTTCCTGAGGAAAGCCCTGTGCATTTCCAACGCACATACGGTGGACTTCTACACGGAGTCCGTGTGGGCGGAACTGGTCGACTTGCCCCCGGAGACCGTGCTGAGGGTACTGAGGAAGTCAGTGGCAGAGGCGGAGGCGCGGCCCCCGGAGGCGCGCCTCCTGGTGGAAGCTGAGAGGCGATCAGGTAAATGGCCGGTGGGCGGGGCGGGCAGGGAGCGGAAAGACCGTCCAGTCTAGCAAAGCGTCTCCCTAGCGTAGGAAGAGCGGAAACAGGTGTGCTGCCTGGCGGGCAGAGGCTGGCTTGGGGGCAGCGGAAGTGGAGTCAGGTTCGTGGCGGGATGGGCCTGGGACGTTCTTCCGGATTCTCTGTCCTTGGGTCCCTGTGTATTTCCCAATGTAAAGAGAACAGGAAATCGCGCAGGGGCGTTTCTTTGAGTAATTGCACAGTTTCTTGACTGGAGGGAAACAAGCAGAACAAGGCGGAAGATAAATCAACACTTAATGAAACACACCAAAATAATTTCAAATATTGATAATGGCCAGGGAAAAATAAAAACAGTTAAACGTGGTAGCGATTGTGTGAGGAGGCTGCTTTAATTTAGGTGGGCAGAAGCATGAGAAGGCGCCAGCCTGCCGTGAGCCACAGGAAAGGAATTCAGGCTCCGGGAACCGCAGAGGCACGAAGAGCGGGGCTGGTTGAGGTTCAGGAGGAAAGTATGCGTGGTTAGAGCCAGGCCCTGGGAGATGGCAGGCGTGATCAGTGTGATGGGAAGCATTTGGAAGGGCTTAATCTCACATTTGAAAAAATAATTTTAATAGTTATTTGAAGAACAGACTGATGGGGCAGCAACGGAGGCCGGTTAGAAGGTTTTTCAGTAGTAGAAGAAAGAGATGATTGTATGAGGGATTAGGATGGTAGTAGTGAAGAACTGGAATATGTACTAGTTCACTTGAAACTGTTATAAAGTATCTGCTGTGTGCCATGAATTTTTGTAGGCTCTGGGGTTTCTTGCCCTCGAGAAACTTAAATTCTGCTAAGGTGAGTCCATTTTAGAAGTGGAATGATGAGAGGACTCCATATGGCTCCTGCTTTGCTTCTAGGCATTCCCAGCCTTGCCCTTGGTAGTGAACTTTATTCACTGAGCATTCTCCAAAATGCAAAGTACCACTAGAGTGGTCTCCTGTAACAGGACTTGGTAAATACTGGTTTCTTTAAAGTTACCGTTTCTTGTTGAAAAGTTAGACTATCAGTTTGCTCTCGTAATACCCAGTACTTAGGATAACATGGCAATTTGGAGACTGTGTCTGTCCTGTAAACTGATGTATTTCTAGCGCCTAATAAAATACCTGGCTCCGTGTACATTTGTTGAATGAATGAATGAATGAATGACTCGTGGTAGCTTCCCAAAAAAGAAAGGAAATTACAATTAAATATGAAGCCCAAGACTTTCATATGGGGTTTCACACAATGGAAGAATTAAATTGTTTATATAGCCTAATAATAATATTATTTGATATTATTTACCCTGCAGTGTGCTAAATATTTTCTTGTATATTTTCTTTTTCAACATTTAACATTTTTTTTAAAGATTTTATTTATTCATTTGAGAGAGAATGAGATAGAGAGAGCATGAGAGGGGGGAGGGTCAGAGGGAGAAGCAGACTCCCTGCTGAGCAGGGAGCCTGATGTGGGACTCGATCCCGGGACTCCAGGATCATGACCTGAGCCGAAGGCAGTCGCTTAACCAACTGAGTCACCCAGGCGCCCAACATTTAACATTTTTACATATAGCAGCCTTGCAAGACGGGTTCTGTTTTCCCCTATTTGTGGAATTGCAACTTGAAGTTTGCAATTTGCCAGGGTCACAGCAATGGAGATTCCAACCTGGGTCATCTGAGGTTTTCACCACTGTGATAAAATTTTACTCTGAATTATTTAGGAGTAAATTACAAAGGCCATTTATTACAAAACCAACGTTTTTATGACATGAATACATGCCTTATTCTTTGTTTTGTTTTTATTGTTTCCCCTTTAAAAATGTAAGAATTGTTTTGTTCACTGCTGTATCCATAGTACAACGCTTGGTTAAATGGTTAATAATATTTGGCGAATGAATGAATTATCCTACTTACTCATTCTCTTGGGCTAGGAATAGAATATTACCATCTTTTGGGAAAACCTTACAACCAATTTTTTATTTATCCAACAATGGAAACTAGACTACATTGTTTACTTTTGAAAAGTTTCTGGCCCTGCAAACTTTTATACAAAATATTCAATTGCACAAATGGTCAGCTGCCTGTAGTATTATAAAGAATGAATTTTTATAGCTTGTAAGGAATACTAATTTTTATTCACACTAAGTTTCTCTATCACTATATGAAGTCTGTTGTTTATGTCAGAGAAGAGCAGTTTTTGCTCTTTGACTATATTTGTATCTTATTAAAACTTACATCACATGGTTGCTATGTACAGTATAATTCAGCAGTTAAATTTTTACGCTTTTGTTCAGATGTGGTTCAAATTCCAGTTCTACCACTGGAGCTCTATAACCTTGGGGAAGTTTGTTCATTCATTCAGCAAACATTTACTAAGTGTCTCCTGTGTGCTAGGAGCACTTTCCTAGGAGCTAGGGAAATAGCAGCAAATAAAACAAACAACAACCCCTACCTTCATCTTGCTTGCATTGTAGAGGGAAGAGGCTTTTTTTTTTTCTTTTAATGCCACAGAGAAAAATCAAGTAGAGAAGGGAAGAATAGATAGGGGAAGTGCAGGAAGAAAGTATGCTTGGAATTTTAAATAGGTTGTTCCAGCAAGAATTCATGTAGATAACTAGAAAAGAAACCTAGATAAGGAGAAAAATGAGTCATGAAGCTGTCTGGAGGGGAAGTGTTACAGAGAGACAGCAAGTGCAAAGGCCCTGAGATGGGAGCATGCATGGTGTGTTTAAGGAGGACCAAGGAGATGAATGGATTTCCATCAGGGACTCACCAGAAGTATGGTTTTCTGCTGGTTCTGTATGAGGAGTTACAAATAAACATAATTCCCAGAGCTGCACTGAGTTAATTCACAGTGTGTAAAAGTACACAGGCAGATGTTTGGCCCAATCATTTGGTGTTTTATGAGACCAAGTTGTTTCTGAAGATCCTTGGTGTAGCTATGTTAGTAGATTTCACTTGCCAGGTGATGTTATGGCCTGGTCAGCACCCTGAAAGTTTCTTCACTGTCTGTCTAAAAAGAACTAGAGAAAAAAACTTAGTTCTCTAAAATAAAAAGGAAAGATGTTGAAAATAACTGTATTTTATGGGTGTAAATTACAAATGTTACGGATTGAATTGGGCCCTCCCAAAAGTCATGTGTTAGAATCCTAACCCCCCCCATTGCGACTATATTTGGAGATAGAGCCTTTAAGGAGGCAATTAGGATTAAATGAGGTCAGTAAGGGTGGAGCCCTAATCCAACAGGAAGAGGAAGAGACATCAGGAGGGCCACACAGAAAAAAACTGTATGAGGATACAGTGAGAAGGCAGCCATCTGCAAGCCAAGGAAAGAAGTTTCACCAGGAACTATCTCTGCCATCACCTCTATCCTCCAGAACTGTGAGAAAATAAATTTCAGTTGTTCAAGCCACCCAGTCTGATATTTTGTTACGACACCCAGAGCAGACTAATGCAATGGGCTTTGCAGATGAGACTGCCAGGGCTCAAATCCTGGCTCCACTTCTTGTTAGTTTTGTTAACTTGGACTTCAACTCTTTGTGCTTTGATTCCTTATCTGTAATAGGGATAATTATAGTGCCCATTGATGGGGTACTATGAAAGTAACATTAGTTAATACAATAATGCCTAACAGATAACAGCACTTAACCCATTCATTTATTTGACTCCTGTTAATTGAGCACCTTCTACCTACCAGGCTCTGTTCTAGGCCCTACAATTATGATACTGGATGCAACAAAATTCCTGCCACATAGAGTGTATGTTTAAGTGAGAATAGATATATAGTAAACCATATGTATATATGGTATATGTATATATAAACATAAATAAGTGAGATCAAGTGGCAGTAAATACAATGAGGAAGAGCAAAGCAGGGAAGGGGAAGTGAAGATGATGGGTATATGGTAGAGAGGAATGGTATTTTAGATTGGGTGATCAGGGAAGTCTTCTCTAGCAAGACAAAATTTGAATAGAAACTTGGAGAAAGTGAGGGGAGCCAGTCATGCAACTAAGTGAGGGAGGTGTTTTAGGCCAAGTGAAGGGCAAGCTGAAGTGTGCTGGGTGTGTTGGAAGCACAGGAGAATGGTCCAGGGGAGACTGCTAAGAGATAAGGTTTGAGAGGTGGTCTGCGGCAACTTTATTTATTTATTTTTTAAAAGATTCTATTTATTTATTTGACAGAGAGAGAGACAGCGAGAGAGGGAACACAAGCAGGGGGAGTGGGAGAGGGAGAAGCAGGCTCCCCACTGAGCAGGGAGCCCGACGTGGGGCTCGATCCCAGGACCCTGGGATCATGACCTGAGCTGAAGGCAGATGCTTAACGACTGAGCCACCCAGGTGCCCCAAGGGGAGGGGGGGCAACTTTATATAGGGCTTTGCAGGCCATATGAGGGCTTGACCTTTACTCTGAGCAGATTGTAATGCTCTTCAAGGATTTTGTGGGGAGTGTGATACGTGATTTATGTTTTAAAGGTATGACTCTGGCTTCTGTGTGGAGAAGAGGCTTTCAGAAGGGGAGGGTGGAAGCAGGAAGACAGGATATGAGGCTAATAACATAACTTCACGTAATGGCAACTTGAAGAAGTCAGATAGTTTCTCTAGCAGGTAATAGTGATAAACAGTGGCCAGATTATTAAAAAAGGAAACAACTACTGGAAGGTTCTGGAAGATGACCAAAGGTAGGTGATAAGAATTTACCATAGAAGGTGTCTACTGATTGCGTAAGAACTGAGAGTTAATGGCTTTCTTGCTTTCTCTTGTGCTCCAAGCCCTGCTAGATCTGCAGTGGAAAGCTGCATCCTTACCAGATCATGGTAGTAATACAAAGTTCAGAGATAGAGCAGATGGAAATTTAAGGTGTATATTCTGGAAGCAGGACAGCCACAGAAAGGGCTGAGATCTAAAATGTAAGCTCTGCCCTGGATGACTTCTAAGTTTAGAGGTCCCATGCATGGCCAAATGCAG